TCTGATTCTTAAGGCCCCTAAACCCTAAACCCTTATAGTAGCCCTTTAAGGAGCCCTTAGAGCTTTAGTATCTTATACCCCCCAAAACCCTATTCTAATTCTTGCAGGCCCCTTTTCTAAGAGCGGAAGCACAGGTTGGTTCAAGCCTCATCCGGCGACCCTGGGTCTGCCTTGAAGGCCCTAAACCCTAAAACCCTAAAACCCTAAACCCTAAAACCCTAAACCGTCTGGTTCTAAGCCGAAGCTGCCAGACTTTTCGGGACGCTTGGTATCCCTCTCGCATAGCAGAGAACGAAGCTAACAGGCAAGGTGGTACATGAGCATACTGAAAGTGTCGGGACGGTTTAGGGTTTAGGGTTTAGGCTGGCAGAAGTTCAGCCTGAACTGAACCAAAGAATCCTTATAGCCCTAAAGACCTGAAAACCCATAACTTACACCCCAGATCCCTCCTAAACTTTACATATCCTAAACCCCAAAGCCCCAAACCCTAAACCCTTTTTGCATCCCTAAACAGCTAAACCCCAAAGCCCCTAGAGACCCGCAGCCCAAGAAGTGCGTCGAAGTGCAACGATGCAGCTCGGACAGCTGCCTCGATTGTGCGGGGATCCTGACAGGAGCCGATGCTTCAGCGTAGTTTCTTATGCATGTGTATATATATATATATATCATATATATATATAGATTAATGTATGCATCTGTTCATTTTGAATCAATCCCCTATATAGGGCCCTGTCGCTGTATGGTTAAGATGAAGGAGGCCCTCAACAATGGGTTATATAGTAATGACATCAGGCTTCTATCGTAAGCGCTTCAGATTTGGGACTAAGCCGTAGGCTGGCGTAGACTGGAAACAGAAACAAGGCAGAATAGACGGGTAGGGCGGGAAAGTACTTAAGCAATGCTTGGGGCAAGTAAACCGACGAGTACACAAAAGAGTGGTGAGCTTTTGCAGTTTGCATCTCCGTAGGCTGGCGGGATGCTATGGCAAATCTGGCTTATCACATATGCGGGTTTCCGAAAATAGGGGACGCCCTAATATAGTACCCTAAATAGTAGATCCCTATTATAAGGACCCCAAAACAAGGTACCCCCCACCTTCGGAAACTCCCACGTGTGGAGATCAGACGGGGGGCACCTGAGGCCCTGATTTTTAGGGCTACGGCTGGCTTCCTTATGGAAGGACCCTGAATGCCATTGCGATGTATGCAAGCTTTTCTTCAACCTGTCCCCCCAATCTATAGCTTGAAGATTTCCCCCGAAGGTTCGCCCACATGACCCGAAACCAATTCACAGTCGCTGAAGCGGTGGACAAGTGACCGGAGTAAGTGTGCTTCGGACCATTCCCGTCAGGAAGCGCAGGACAAGGTGGGATTCGCCTGCTCGGGGTGTTGCTGAGTGTCTGGGTTTAGGGTTCGGAAATTCTGAATCTGGTCTTCAGGGTCTTTCGCTTTCTGGGGATTTGGGGCTCTTTCGAGGCTGACTTTGTGGTACTTCTTGGGTTTTCGCGTGAACAGCGCGCTGTATGATAGATGCTCAGCGCAAGGGGCACGGTACTGATGGCGGATAAACCGATAAGCCATTGCTGGTGGCAGCGACGAACACATTGTCAGAAGAGGGATGCTTACATGTATTAGCTAGCATCACGACGTAGGGGCTTCTTAAAATCCGGAGTACCGTATCGACGTCTGATACTTTCAGTGCCTAGATCCGGACATGAAGTTCACCACGACGATACTGCTACTGATGAAAACATACTCGAGCCATCCATTGCACAAAGAGACGACTAGTAGTTGTAATATAGTGATAGCAATAGTACCAGTAGCAGTAGTAGCAATTGCATTCGAAAGTGTAGGTGTAATAGTAACAGTAGGTGTTACTCGCAATACTGTGGATCATACATCACGAACAACTAGTCTTCAACAGCCTTGACTAGGTAAATCTGACGCACCACCCCGGACCCTACGCTTCAAAGCCGGCATCTTAGCATGCACCGATCCATGGGAAAGAGTGAGAAGCTTTTCGGTATATGGGTGAAGGGTTTCATGATTTATAATACAAGCTTGACCCTAAGCACTACACTCTGGGGCTTAATGTAGGAACCTGACTAAGAAACCCTGGCCCTATAGCCCCAAAATATTAGGATTCATCCGGTGCCCAGAACCCATCGCATCAGACACGGGCTGCACCTGATCTTTCGACGGCCAGGATCGCAGCAGAATAGCCAACAGCATCCTGCGTCGGTGACGCTTAGGGTTTAGGGTTTAGGGTAGGCTAGTGTAAGGGCGATAAAAAATTGAATTGGGTGTTTTGGGTGTATTGTTGTAATACTGGATAATAGGAGTCCACAAAATAGTACATTATTGGAAATTATTTAGGCCCCTTACTGTACCTGGAAATGTTAGGCTTCGGTGTTTGCAGGGTGTGGGGTAACAGTTACAAGGCCTGCTGTTTGACGCTAGTATCGACAACGAGCACACTGCTCGGAGAAACCGTAGGTTACTACATCCTACACCCTAAACTCTAAACCCCTAAACCCTAAACCCCAAACCCTCAACCCTAAACCCCAAACACTAAACCCTAAACCCTAGGCTCTACACCCTAAACCCCTGGGTGGCTCAGGACTTCTAAGCTTCCACAAGCAACTACCCTTGCTTGATGCTACAAAGCCTGCATCAGTTCATGCAATCAACGCAACACGGAAGTTATGCCAATTCAACATAGTGCGGCCGGATTTCAATCGAACTTAAGGCTGGGGCTTTCGAGTTCAGGGCCTTGGGGACTGTGGCTTCACTCAAACCCTGGACTGTAGCTCCCTAAACCCTAAACCCCTGAACCCCAAACCCTCGATCCCGTGTTTTCAGAATTGAAAGTCCTAACGATGAAGTCGGTCTTGCCGCAAGAAGGTGTTATGGAGCGATTGTACGTGATTGCTACCTAGTTCCGAGATCGAGATACTTTTCTTGATATTCGAGTTTGTATGGGTCGGCTCCCGGAGTAAGAGAGCAAGGAAACCCCAGCAGGAACCACGTGGCAGGCTGTAGGATATCGGGAAACCTTGACGACAGTCTATAGGCCCCGAGTCTCAGACTCCGCCCCTTCAAACCTTAAAGCCCTGAAGGCCATATTGTAAAGCTCTGGGCCTTCTCCGCCTCGCCGTCATGAAGAAGTTCAAGAGATAGCCTCCTTGGAAGCAAAGTAAGGGGGTGCTTTCGCCTCATCTCAGAATAGGGGGCGGTGGCGGGCTCAGGATTTACCTTGATCTCCAAAGAAACAGGGCTTACGGGATCCCTGTGTCTCGGGTTCCCCGTACAGTGTCAACTGCTGTCATACTGTTGATGATCTAAATCCTGCATTACTTTAAGGACCCAAAACTATGGGAATTATGGTATATTCCTTATTATAGGTGATGCAGGATTTGTTTTGCCAACCGTAGTAACTGCAAGGTAAACTAATTATGTGGGTACCTGTCCTTTTGGGGTTGCATCGCCTCAGCTGCAGCTCTTGAATCGGACTTGCAACATGCACTACCAGTACCAGGCGTCTCCTCAATTGCCGAGTACGAATCGCTAAAGGGTTCAGGAGAGGTTTACAAACCCTAAACCCTAAACCCTAGAGCCTAAACCCTAAACCCTAAACATGGCTTCAAAGGTTCACGGGCTCAAGCCGGGCTCAAGGCCCCTTCAAGGACTAATGTGCCTAGTAACTGCCTATACTATTTTGGGGGGGGCTCCTTACTATAATACTACTATGAAAGGAGCCCTCATCAACCTCTCAAGAAGCCTTCCAACGATAATAACAGACAGCCGAGTCGCCACTGAGCAGACCTCTTCGAGATGCAGCGAGTTGGACAATTTCGTACGGAGGACGTGGCTACTTGCAGGGTCACGTGACTTAGTTTACAGGTTCTGGCGGCTCGAAAAAGGCCTTCTTGAAGGTAGCACTGCGAAGGGCTTTTCAGGCCAGTTTTGAATACAATTTCCTTTCTAAATCTAAACAGTGATACTTCGAACCCGACTTATGCATACCTGCCTACCCATGCCCTGTCCGCAAACCCCTTAAAGGAACCTAATCGTACCCTATGGTCCTAAAGTCAATACCATGAGCCTTCCAGTTCAGGGCCCCTTGTCCCTATAATACAAACGAAACCAACAAAGCATACAACTTTACGACACCCTGCTGCCTTCAGTTCGGGCCCGCAAAGAACTGCAGACCTCCGGTTTCCGGGCTAAGCTTTCAACTTTGCAGGATTGTTTGACTTGTCATGGGTTAGGGTTTAGGGTTTAGGGTTTAGGGTTTAGGGTTTAGGGTTCAGGGTTTAGGGATCGATCCAGCGGTTGCAGTCCTGCATGGGAGCTCGGGGGTGGAAGCTACAAGGCCATAGGGCACTCCATGCTCCTCAGTCTTATTGCACCCCGTGCATCCTGACGACAAGTGCTCGGGGAAACATCTCCAAGCCCATGGGCCCCACAATCACTGGAGGGGCCTTAATCAATCATGAGAATAGTGTGTTGGGGCCCATTATACTATAATGATAAGAAGGAACCCCCCAAAATAAAGTAGGTATAAACTAAGGGCCCTACACTTACTGCCTCTTCCAGCACCCTGCTTCCAGGGCCAGGTTGCCTTTAGCTCACCTCTAAACGAGCAAAAATCCTTCAGCCTTGACACTTCTGGGCGGCCTAGGGTTTAGAGGGCTTAGGGTTTATAGGGTTTAGGGTTAATCTTGCAACGAAGTCTGCTACTGCTACATACTGATACAATGCCGTAAATCTTCAGCTGCCGTTTTCGCCTCCCCATGGCAGCAATGGCAGCATTGTGTGCGACTTCCACGTCCCCGCGGATCAATCCCACATCGTCGAAGCCTGTTTCGGCTCGGAGAGAGGATCAGGATAGCGCAAAACTCTATTTAAAAACCTAAAGGTAAAAAACCTAAAGGTCTAAAGCATGAAACCTTAGCACCCACTGAAAGATTCCGGATTTACAGCTACGGGAATGCCGAGACCGGGTTTTGGAGCCCGTTCGGAGCTTGGGCTGCTTCGCGCCTTCATATCACGCATGTTCAGAGTCATGCTTGAGTGTTCAAGTTCGAGGACCGCAATCATCCCCACAAGCAAACCCCAAAACCATCAAGTGTCTACAATCTAAAGCGGATCAGGTATAGTGGATCAGGTTATCTCGCGATGGTGGTGGCTGGCTGGAAGCTTGGCAATTCCCTCTGCATTCTTCAGCACTGCCCTGTCCCGGGCCAAAGTATGAAGGTCCAAAAAATAATGCGACCAAGGCCTGCAATGAAGCCCCGTTTTCAAATAAACTGAGAAAAGCCAGAAGTACAAGACCCAGGTGAAGCTGCAAGAGTGCTGAACCATGAACACTTGAACCCGGAAGGCTGGACACTCACAGCCCAGACCCTTCCACCCCAAAACTTCCCCTCTAACCGATTCCTAAACCCTAACCCCCCGAACTTACAAACCCACGACCTCAACCCCCCCCCCCCACAGCAACCTTCCTAGAGATCCCCTGTATCCTAACTCAAGATTCAACCCTAAACCCTAAACCCTCAAGATCCAGGTGCAGCCCAAGAGGCAGTGCCTGAGCTCCACTGCTTCGGCCCAGTGCCTTCTGCTGCAAGGGTGGGTTTAGGGTTTAGGGTTCGCTTAACTCTACCCATAGGCCCCATAGTAGTTCCTTTTTGTGGCTTATATTTAGGATTCTGTTAGCCATAGTAGTTCCTTTTTGTGGCTTATATTTAGGATTCTGTTACGTAATCCCAGAAAGGAACTACTATGGCCTCTGGGTAGAACTGTCCAATTGCTTTCGGGCTTAGGGTTATAGGGGTTTACAACGCTTAGGACTATAGAACGATTCAAGGCTTGAGGTTTGCAAATATGACACACGAATCATATGATCTTGAAAAGACGAAGCCATGAACAGCAATTCAACAAACACATCCGTGGCCACCTGCCAGTCACCCATGCTCCCAGTGCAGCGGCAGTGCAAGCGCCATCGACGACCTTCGACCGCATGATATCCAACGATTGAACCGTAGCGGTGGTTGCTGGAAGCTTGTGCGGAGTGATACGGTTGATGGACAAAATCCTGCATGACCTTATATACTTAAACTATGGGATTTATGGTACTATTATATATTTGGGCCATGCAGAATTTTGTCCATCAGCAGTAGGAGTACAGAATTGTGCTAGCATGCAGTGTCAGCTGTAGAAAAGCAGTTTTACCCGTCTAAAACCCTATGAAGCCGCCCGGAATGCCAGGTGGCCAAGTGCCGGCTCGCCAATGCCCTGCATACGCCCAGGGCCAGCGTCCAGCGCTGGGAGCGAGCACAGGCGTTAAGTACCTTGGGGCTTCGGTTCGGGTGGAAGCTTGCCATTGCTTCACCCATAATACCGCCATACTCACATATACCACTCATATATCTCATATCAACATATATCAACCTCAATATCTCAGATATTGCAGCATACCCCCAATCAGTGCATACCCTGCACGCATCGATCCCACACCCCAAGTGGCACCTAGCTCTGCCGGCCCCGAGCTCCAAACGCAGCTTCCGGTAGAAAACAACACCCCGGCAGCCTTGTAAGGATTTAGGGTTTAGGGTTTAGGGGTTTAGGGTTTAGGGTTTCGGGATGCTCGGTCTTACCAATGCAGAGTATCAGTGTTGTCTTCCCCAGAAGTATATACTCTATTTAGCAATCACCCTAAGCGAAACCTTTTTGCAACACACCCTGAACCCTACACCCTCATCCCTGAACCCTTGGGGCTACGCAAGCCCAGCGGCCAGGCCGCAGCAAAGTAGGTCCACACGGACGTGACACGTGGCGGCCAGAGAAAGCACCTGGCCAATCCCACATCCTGAACCACAACCCTGAACCCTAAACACGAAAGCCCTGATAAGTCGTGGGGGATCCGGAATCCCAAATTCCAACGGCAGTTCCTTGGGTTTGAAAAAAATAAAGTTTGGGGCTTTGGGCTCATAGTGCTTTTGGGGTCTTATGGTTGAGGCTTGCTAATGAGTGCCTAACTTGGTTTAACATGCAAGGAGTCGTACAGCCCATATTGAAGGCCAGAAAGCCTCATATAATCTTACCCATCATTCCTTGGCACCATTTCCGGCACAGCCTTCATACAACAAAAAAACCTGGCATGGCCGAAGGCACTTCCATCGCCGCGTGCCATGCAGAGCTGCGCTCTGAAGCGGATGCCTGCGAGGATGTATGCAAGCAGAAATATGCATGCATGCATGCATGCATGCATGCATGCCTACATGCCTGCGTGCCTGCTTGCCTGCATGCATGCATGCGTGCATGTCCGTATGCATGTAAAATACATACGTACATACATACATACATACATACATACATACATGCATGCATGCATGCATGCATGCATGCATGCATGCATGCATACCTGCATGTGCACACACACACATGCATATACATATATAGGAAGGCGGCATATTGTGGCATCTCTTGGGGCTCAGGGCTTGGATAGCAAGGGCAGATCTTGAAACCTGAGCAGAAACTCCGTCATGACCTCTGTACCCCCAGATCCGAAGCCCGAAGCCATGTCTCTGCTGAGAATATCGGGGCCAGATGTACATCGGTGCGCTTACATTCCGATACTTCACGGCTATCAGGTTGGTACGAGATCCCTATAACAATAAAGCCATACAACACCCTCAACCCTGAAGCCCAAATAACGTAAACATACGTAAACCCTGTAGAATTCCCGAACGGAGGTACCCCCATGGCCGGCCACGGGGTCCCCGACTTTCCTTTCCGACACTCCTACTTGAAGATGTCCGGATCAAGGGATCCGCACCCTGTTTAAAAGACTCCGGAAGTAAATGGTGGAACCTGCTGATGGAGGCCCCCGAGAGCCCAATAACCCTGAATAGGGTTTAGGGTTTAGGGTTTAGGGTTTAGGGTTTAGGGTTTAGGGTACCCTATTCAAACTTTGTGGTATGTTCCTTTTTCGAGGGCTGTTGGGCTCTCGGTAGCAATTGAACCAGGGACGATGGTCGAGAGCGAAATGCAGTCGATCCCCAACCTCGGACATTAGCAGGATGACACTTCGGCTGGTGCCTTCCGGGTTCCTTTAAAGGGATTCCCTTAAGGGTTCCTTTAAGGGGCTCAGGGTAAGGCTGCTTCAGCGAGGCTCTAGGCGCGATCTTGGACAAGGCAACCCCAGACTTGGTCAGAAGTAAGCGGGCCCCAAGGAGGGAATAGAGCTGCTGGAGCCGGCTATTTTTTACGTTCGATTTCCACATGGGTAGTTGTCAAAATTATGGTCCCTTTTGCGGTACCCTAAATAATAGGTGCCGTATTATAATAAGGACCCAAAAAGGGACCATAATTTTGACAACCACCCACATGGAAGCCATATTATGGAGAGGCTGAAGGCAGCTGCTTGACGCTTCATGAACATGTAGAGCACTCCATGCAACCTAAGCTACCACCTGCATGCTCAACTGAACCAGGTAAGCAGTGCTAGGTCCAGGCGAAAGCGATAACTAAATCCTTGCGGTTCACGCCGGGCTACTTACGAAGAACTGCCGGAGACATGCAGGAACGACAGAAATTTGTGGTACTTTGAGATCTGGGTATACTCCCCCACAATCCTAAGCTGTCCCCACGGCTGGAAGTCACTCGATGCCGAAACCTCCTACTTGACCCCCCAGGCTCGGGCTTTGTGGTTTCAAGGTTTGGGGTCTCTAGGCCTTCAGGACCTGTTCGTGTGTACAGCTCAGGGTCACTAAGGCAAGGGCCGCAGCAGACGAATTTTCAGGGCTCACGGGGCGTACAGTTTCGAAGTCGAAACTCCAAAACTTAGAAAACTCGCGAATTATTTAAGGTCCAAATTCTCCGAATATACTTGCCCTAAACTACTGGAAAAGGAGCCCAGGTCAGCCCAACGGTTCAACGGTTAGGCTCTAGAGGCACATGGCAAAACCCTGCATAGTGAATCCTACCGAAAGCGAATAAGACCCAACAACCCTATAGAGCCCTTGACAGAACCTGTAGACATTGACCTGCAGCTGAACCCTTAGACCAGAACCCTAAACCCTAGGCACTAATCCCTAAATCCCCTCAAAAGGGACCCATAGAAATTCGCATCCAAGCATCCCGTCTGCAGACCCGGCAATCCGCAGAGAAAGCGCCTCTTCCTGAGAAGGTCGACTCAGGTTAAAGGCTTTAAGTTCTGGGGTTTATTTCAAGGTTTAGGGTTTGGTGTTTAGGGTTTACGGTTTGCGCTTTAGGGTTTAGGGTTTTGGATTCAGGGATTGGGGTTGTACGAGTATTGTCTACCCTCTATCCCCGCCCGGACACACTCTGCCTGTTCAGAGTCCAGGCACCGGCTTAGATTCCATCCTTGTTTGTCCCGGCATTGAAGCTCAGTACTGGTGCCAGCAACCCACTCTGCGTACTTCTTGGCTGATAGTCAGCTCAGTCTGAGCCCTTCGATCCGAACAGCGATAGGGGGCCAGCCCCACAAGTACAATCATCATGTAGATCTGAAGTTGAAGAGGCACAAGGAGTGTTGAGTATGAAGCTTCGGTTGCTGTCGGACTTGAGCCAATGTAGGTTGGTCCTGACAGCTCCTCCTGAATACAACACCCCAAACACCACAAGCATTAAAGCTGAACCGTAACCGCCGGATGTTTAAAGCTGAGCAACGCCCCCGAAGGTCAGGATAATCCTGAAGTGATATTGTCGATAACCCTTAGATGGTAATGACAATGAATTCAGCGCAATGCATGAAGACCGACACCGCCTCGCTTCCGACGTGGGGGGGCTGCGGTTTGGGGTCTACCTTAACCAATGCAGGTTGTGGTAGGTTCAGGGTAATTAGGCAGTGTTCACCCCTAAACCCTAAACCCTAAACCCTAAACCCTAAACCCTAAACCGATGAAGCTAAGAGGCCCAGGAACCCTGGCGATCGTGCCCGGACATGGCCGCATTGACACAGAGGAGGTTTTTCCGCACTGCCGCCTGGGGAATCATATAAAGCCCAAGGGCTCCAGTTACCTAAATAGTAGGTTACTAACCCTATATTACGCTGGAGCCCTGGGGAAGGCTTGAAAGATTTATTTGGATAGTTGAACTTCAGTACACTCTAAAGCTCGGCCTGGACAAAAACCGGTCAAAGACCAGATTTTTTTCTACTGAAATCAAAAGTCTTTCTTAGAGGCGACAGAGTCTAGTCCCAGGCCCTCCCTGAAAGCTTCGAAGCAAGACCGCCAAGAGTCAACCCTAAAGCCGAAACCATCCTAATGCAAAAACCGTATAAACCCTACATGGGGCTTCGGTGCTCACACTCGGACAAGGGGCTTCGGGTTGAAGGTTTAGGAGCACTGCCCGAAACTCCCCAAACCCACACGCACACGCACAGTAAACCCATCGAGAATCCAAACACATGAGAGGAAATCCGCCAAGCCCACACGCTCAGGCAAAGCTTAGGGTTCAGGGATTGGGGCCCCTAAATGCTGTAGCCTTAAGCCCTAAACCCGTGAGCTTCAATAACAAGAAGACTGCCTCGAGGTCTACTATAGTGTCACAGATGGACTGCCTATCAGCGGTTTTGTCAAACTGCAACGATCCAGGCCCAGTATTTTGAATCCAAACCCGGCCAAACCACCAAGGGGCTTTTTCTATACAACTATCAAAACGTCTATAGCCCTAAGCCCTAAGCCTCCAAATTTGGCCAAACCACGGGACCTTTGTCATCTCCTCCAGCAGCTTTTGAGCCACTGTAGTATGGCTGCACCTCGAAGCTTGCTTCAGGGTTTAGGGTTGACTGTGGATTAATGAATCTTCAAGAAGCCTTGCCGTCAGGCTCCCTATTCTAGAGTTATTGATGGGGAAAGTAACCTGGCATTGCCGGCAACCCTGAACTATGGGAACTGCTTCAGAGCACAGGGCCTGCGGTTTCAGGCTTGAAAGTGTTATAGGCAGGTGCTGTCGGGATGAAAGTTCCGGGCTTGGGGTTTAGGGTTTAGGGTTTAGGGCTTAGGCTTCTGGGGTGTTCGCAGGTGCATGCAACACATCTGGTGTGAGACTGGAGGCCTGTCGTACTGCTAGCTTCCAAACCCCACCCACAAGCCATAACCTAAACCACTGTGAGAGGCTCAAAGCAAAACCCACGAATCATGAATCAGCGGGAAACTCTTGAACACAAAACTTAATTTGTTGAATCGTTTCCCCTAACATCAAGAGGGGGCGGCCCCCAAAACAAACTCGGAAAGTGTTATCACTATTAGGGGCTATTCTCATCTCTACTGCCACTGTTGATGGGTTGTGTTCTTGCTCCTGGTCTGGCTCTTGCTCCTGCGCTTCTTTTTGCTCTTGCTTCTGCCGCGTCTCGTGCGCGTGCTCCTGCTCTTCCTGTTGCTCCCGCTTTTGCTCCTGCTCTTGCTCGTCCTCCCGCTCTTGCTTTGGCCTCTCACTCCTGCTCTTGCTTTTGCTCTTGCTCTTATTGTTGTGCTCTGCGCGTATTTGGAGCCTGGAAACCCTCTCCCTAATTCAGAAGGGGTTTTAAAGGGTAGAGATGATTTCGGGAGGATTCGCCCCGATGTGTTTTT